CTAAGTGCCAGGCGGGTAGTTAATCACTTTAACTACGAACAATCACACTTAAGCTACATAATCTTTATTTAGGATAATCTCCTTCAGTTACTTCCTTGTAGCTTAACAGAACAATAGAGTAGTGACCTTGGAATGGAGATAACAAATGGCCTAACTTTGGAATAGAATGGATAGGATTAAAATCAACTGGTATAAATACAGATGTAACAGGAGAATAAACACAGAACCTGGCTAGAGAACCTGGCTGGAGAACCTGGCTAGACAGAACCCGGCTATGCTGATGATCTGAACGCTGCTGTCTCCATGTCATTCCTTCTTTGCTGACTCGGTCCTCACCTTTGGGAACCCCTGAACCGCTGGGGCTGGACCCCAACATCAGTGACTGGCCATGTCGCTGTCCCACTTGTACCAGGACGGGGAAGGCCACATGGATGATGACGAGAGGGAGAACTTTGAGATCACTGACTGGGATCTGCAGAATGAGTTCAACCCCAACCGGCAGCGGCATTGGCAGACCAAGGAAGAGGCCACCTACGGAGTGTGGGCAGAGCCAGACTCGGATGAAGAGAGGCCCAGCTTAGGAGACAAATGGGCCCGAGACTACTCCGCGCCAGTCACCTTCATCAGTGCAGGCATCAAGAAAGGGGCGGTGGAGGAGGCGGAGCTGGAAGATTCTGACGATGAAGAGAAACCTGTTAAACAGGGAAAATTTCCTAAGGATTTCTGGCCGAAGAAATCAAAAATGGGTGGCAATTTTAAACCCAGCCAGAAAGGCTTTGCAGGAGGAACCAAGTCGTTCATGGATTTTGGCAGCTGGGAGAGACACACGAAAGGGATAGGGCAGAAGCTCCTGCAGAAGATGGGCTACGTCCCTGGGAGGGGCCTCGGCAAGAACGCGCAAGGTATCATTACGCCAATCGAAGGCAAACAGAGAAAGGGAAGAGGTGCCGTGGGAGCGTATGGCTCTGAGCTGACCACTCAGTCTCTGCAAGACTTCCCTGTGGTGGACTCGGAAGAGGAAGCGGAAGAGGAGTTTCAGAAGGAGCTGAGCCAGTGGAGGAAGGACCCCAGCGGGAGCAAGAAGAAGCCCAAGTACTCCTACAAGACGGTGGAGGAGCTGAAGGCCAAGGGCAGGACCAGCAAGAAGCTCACGGCTCCCCAGAAGGAGCTTTCGCAGGTCAAGGTCATAGACATGACGGGCCGGGAGCAGAAGGTCTACTACAGCTACAGCCCAGATCAGCACAAGCACAACATCCCCGACAATGGGCTGCCACTGTCCCGCAAGGAGGCCAAGGTCCGGGGCTTTGCGCTGCCGGAGCTGGAGCACAACCTGCAGCTGCTCATCGACCTCACGGAGCAGGAGATCATCCAGAACGACCGGCAGCTGCAGTACGAGCGGGACATGGTGGTGAACCTCTCGCATGAGCTGGAGAAGATGTCGGAGGTGCTGGACCATGAGGAACGGGCCATCTCCAACCTCAGCAAAGTCCTGGAGCTGGTGGAGGACTGCGAGCGGCGCATGCAGCCCGGCTGCAGCCACCCGCTCACCCTGGACGAGTGCGCCCGCATCTTTGAGACCCTGCAGGACAAGTACTACGAGGAGTACCGCATGTCCGACCGCGTGAACCTGGCTGTGGCCATCGTCTACCCGCTCATGAAGGAGTACTTCAAGGAGTGGGACCCCCTCAAAGACTGCACCTACGGCACGAAGATCCTCTCCAAGTGGAAGAGCCTCCTGGAGAACGAACAGCTCCTGGCGCACGGCGGCCAGGACCTCTCGGCAGATGCCTTTCACAGGCTGATATGGGAAGACTGGATGCCTTTTGTTCGAAAAAGCGTCACCCAGTGGCAACCCCGGATCTGTGAGCCCATGGTGGACTTCCTGGATAACTGGGTGCACATTATCCCCGTGTGGGTGCTGGACAACATCCTGGACCAGCTTATCTTCCCCAAGCTGCAGAAGGAGGTGGAGAACTGGAACCCACTCACGGACACCGTGCCCATCCACTCCTGGATCCACCCGTGGCTCCCCCTCATGCAGGCACGCCTGGAGCCGCTGTACTCCCCCATCCGCAGCAAGCTGTCCAACGCCCTGCAGAAGTGGCATCCCAGCGACTCCTCTGCCAAGCTCATCCTCCAGCCCTGGAAAGACGTCTTCACCCCTGGCTCCTGGGAGGCCTTCATGGTCAAGAACATCGTGCCCAAGCTGGGCATGTGCCTCGGGGAGCTGGTCATCAACCCCCACCAGCAGCACATGGATGCCTTCTACTGGGTCATGCAGGTGCTGGGCCATCTCTTAGTGTTTTGTGTCTGCGGCACAGCTGCTGCTCAGTGAGTAACAGTAGGTTTAGGAGATGGCGCCTGGGGTATATCCAGACTTCAGCCCCATCACAGCCTAGATTCTGTGTGTATCGGACACCTCTCCTCACCCCCTGCCCTGTCTCCCAGGTGCCTACATGCAGCCCGGAGCACGAGAAAACATCGCCTACCTCACCCACACGGAGCGGAGGAAGGACTTCCAGTACGAGGCCATGCAGGAGCGGCGGGAGGCCGAGAACATGGCCCAGAGGGGCATCGGCGTGGCCGCCAGCTCTGTGCCCATGAACTTTAAGGACCTCATTGAGACCAAGGCCGAGGAGCACAACATCGTCTTCATGCCTGTCATCGGGAAGCGACATGAAGGGAAGCAGCTCTACACCTTCGGCCGCATCGTCATCTACATCGACCGGGGAGTGGTGTTCGTCCAGGGCGAGAAGACCTGGGTGCCCACCTCCCTGCAGAGCCTGATCGACATGGCCAAGTAGGCGGAGGCCCGGGGCAGCTGCACACATTTCTGACTAAATCTTTTTTTTTTAAATTAAATCTCTATTGTTCAGATTAAAAAATAAATAAATAAATAAATAAATAAAAAAGATTTATATTATCCTTTACTCCTTAATGACACTGACCTCATATTTCCAAACTGATTATTTTTGGGGTTTCCAAGGAAGCAGTCTCAGAAACAAGAGTCATGCATACCTTACTATTCTTCTTAAGGTAGCCACTTGTACCTAATATCTTTACCACTTTAAACAGATAGGAAAAGTCACACTTCAATAAGTCCAAACAAGTTTTGTCTTAAAGGAATAAAACAAGGACATTTCATTTTTATACATTCAATTTTGGAGTCCATAGCTTCACATCTGTTTAGATCTTTGATACCACAGAGATAGATTTTATTTTTATTTTTTAGGAATGGACAATAGACCATAAGGTAGGCAGATGTTTCTTCTCAGATGATTCCAAACTCTTTTCTCATATTGAGTTAGGCAACTACACATTTTAGCACAGAATTCAAGCATAAAATACACAATCTTTTTCTTCTGTTCAAAGAAGTCTACATCTTGGAGTTGGGGATTTGTTATTGATGCTGTCCTCGCCTTATTTTCTAGCCCAGATCTCATTTCCTAATCTGAGAGAAAGTAAAAAGAGTATCTTTACTTTAAAAGATTTAATTTCCTTTTCTCACTTTCTCATTTAATTTTGAAGAATTTAAGGTAGCATCTTTGTGACACTGCATAAGGAAAAGTTTTTAAAAGTACAAAAATAAATCCAACATCAGGCTGTCTGATTAAGCAATAGTTCCTTGGATCATAAAATTCTTTTGAAAAAATATGCCATGGTATTTTTACTGAGTTTATGAGCTGAAAGGCATTTAAAATTCCAAGGAGAACAACAAAAAGAATAAAAAAGAAACACACATGTGTTGTTACTAAAAAAAGGCACCAAACATGTGTACAGGCAGGATTATTCCTGGGAAAAATTATGAAGCAGATGAAATCTGTGCTCATCATTTTTCCATGCCTTGTTTTGAGCCCCTTTTTCATCTCTGCTCTGCCCATCACCAACTGTCATGCTGCATCATCCCTACCTGGCAATACTTAGAGAAGTAAAAAGTGAATAATCTTGGGGAGAACCCATATTTAAAGATATGAGACAAGGAAGAGAGAACAGTAAAGTAAATCAATAAAATGATCAGAGAGGCCTTATCCAAAGAGTGCAATGAATATCATAAATGAAGCATTTTCACAAAAGAGAAGCTTTGTCATTATTTATTTACATCTTCCATTTGCCCTGAAGTGGAAGAATTTGTTCAATATGACATTTAGAATTTCTCTTAAAGTAATACATGCTAGTATTGCAATTAAAGGTCAGATATGGATAAATTATGCCTGCAAGATTTCTTATTTTATCCTGGAGCTAGGATATTATTCTATAGTAATAATGTCAGTTCCATGAATAAAAATAAAAAATATTCATTCAAACTAAGTATGAGACAGCACAAAATATTCCTTTCAAATGTCAGAAGTTCCATAGGTTTATGTCAGAAGTTCCATAGCTGAGGTGATATAATATGGAAAGTGACATAAGTCACTCCTGACTTTAGCCCCAGCCCTCTTGGAAGGCCAAGTAGCAGATACCCACATACAAGACACCATTGTGAAAATCCCAGAACTTGAAAGTGAGTCTGAAGCAACACCCTGAAACACAGAGACTGAGAAGTACCACATTATAAGGGTAAGAGGAGAGGTTTCACTCTGATTGCATTGTCTTTCCCTGAGTGGCCCCCTTGGCCTAACATTTTTTTTTTCCAGTGGGAAAAAGGAAGCCAACGTGGACAATCAGCTCCACCAGTGCTATGGGATGCTTTCTGGTGGCTCATTCAGGTCTTACCTCATGAGGATCACTGGTGGAATCTGGGACTTGGCTACTGGGGATCACATAGAGACCAAGAGGAGTGGGGCTTACAGCAGCTAGCACTCAGATCTTGGTAGGCTGTATTCCTGTTAGCAGCAACACAGGAGCAGAGATCCTAGGGAGTGCGGTCATCTGCGGAGCTGAGTTGGTGATCCTGTCTCATCACGGAGCTTGTTTGGCAGTTTGGGACTCCAGCCTAAGAGTTGTACCTGCTGTGGAGCCCATTATATGTCCCTGTTTGGGTAGGAAAGAATATTTGCAACCCTGCCCAAAAGCTAGGCATAGAGTCCTGTTCTGCTAGACCAGGATGAGGGCCAGAGAACTTGGGTATCTGTGGAGTTAATACTACAGCCCTATGCAGGCAGAGGGCCAAGCCAGCAGCCCTGACCAACAACTGAGCATAGCCTCTACCCCTTTATAACCAGGGAACCTGAACAGTGACCATAGGTAGCCTCAGAAACCAGTCTACAGAACTGCCCAGCTGTGAAGCCCAGCTAACAGCCCTTTCTAGCAGCAGAGTTTAGCCTACAACCCTGTCTAATTACTAAAAACAGCCAGTGACCCTGTCCAATTTCAGAGCATAGCCTGTGACCCCAACCAGCCGAGACAGTTACCCTACCAAACCTAACTAACCATTGAACATCGAATAGTTTCCAGCCCCAATCAAAATACAGCTGGAGGCCCCAGTTGACTAGAGAGCCTGGTAAGCGATCTTGCCCAATACAGGAGCAGAGAAAGTGGCCTAACTGATCATGAAGCACAGCCTATGACTCTGCCCAAACTTGGGCATAGCTTGTGGCTCTGTCCGACTGTGAAGCCATGTTTGTGGTTCCACCTGACATGGAGTCCAGCCAGTGACACCATTCAGTTAGTGAGCACAACATGAGACCCTGCATAATCACAGAATCCAACCAGTGACACTGTCCTGCCAGGAAACAACCTGGGATGACACCCTACCATAGGTAACTGTAGAGCCCAGCGAGGGATCCCTCCCCTGAAACCATGGAGTGCAGGCAGCATTTCCACCCAACCAAGGTGTCTATTTAGTGTATCTCCCCTCACCTTGAATGTGGAATCCAGCCAGCAGGCTGACCCAACTGCAGAGACCAGCCAGTGGCAACCCTTCCCTTTGCCCAGCTGGAGACGCCAATAGCAAACTGTGACTGTCCACAAATGCTACCAGATGACCCATCGAGTACCCGAAGCTAAGCAGACTGGTGAAGATCTTTCCCTGCCCAAATAAACTGGCAATGTCTGGAAGAAGAGACTGCTTACTCAAATGCACAGATACCAATGCAAGGATACCAGAATCACAGAGAATCAGGTAAATGTGACAATGCCAAAGGAAAGTAATAAAGTGTCCTTTATTAGTCCTGAACTAATCACGAACACTAAAAAATGGAAATCTATGAACTATCTGACTCTTTAAAAAGTTCATTGAACTACAAGAACGCACAACTAAATAAAATTAGGAAAACAATGCATAAACAAAGTGAGAAGTTTAAAAAAGAAATAGAAACCATTAAAATAAACAAAACAAAATTCCTAGAGATGAACAATACAATGACTGAAATGGAGTTTCTTCATGCTATTGAAGTTATCCGGTTAAAATAGGATTTTATAATTATAAGATATTTTATTTGAGCCAGAAAGAAAAAAACCATGTAGTAGATATACAAAATGATAAAGGATTCAAGGCATACTGCTACAAAAATTCATAAAATCAAAGAGGAAGACAGCAAGAGAAGAAGCAAGAAAGAAATGGCTTACAAAATATTTAGGAAACAACAAAATGACAATACAAAACCCTAACTATCAATCATTACTTTAATTGTAAATGGATAAAAATTCTCCAAGCAGAAGTCAGAGAATGGGTGAATGGACTAAAAAAACAAGATCCAACAATATGCTGCCTACAAGTGGCTCACTTAACCTTTAAGGATACAGGTGACTTAGAGTGAAGGTATGGAAAATGACATTTAAGCAAATGGTAACCAAAAGAAAGCAGAGGTAGTTACATGTATCAGAAAAAATATGCTTTAGGATAAAAATAGTCATAAGAGACAAAGACGTTCATTATATAATGATAAAGTGGTCATTTGATGAATAATCCTATCTAATAATAGACAAAGATGCAAATTGAGCATACCTTCACTACACCCACCATTGGCTAATCAGAGTGATATGCAAATTAACCACCAACAAAGAGGGTGGCTAATTTGCATATACCAGCTGGGAGCGAAGACTGAAGACACCATAGAAGGAAGCCAAGCAACAGAGCCGAGGTAGCAGAGACAGGTGGGAGAAAAGTGGCAGAGATGGGCGGGGTAGGAGCAGCAGAGAAGGGCGGGGTAGGAACGGCAGAGACAGGAGCGAAGCCTTATTCTTGCAGGAATCTTCCCGCAAAGGAGCCTCTAGTCCTATGTAATCCTATATAATAAGAGAGGAATATGCTAATTAGCCATTACGCCCTGAGGTGTAACAACCAAGCGTGTCACGACCAGATCATGGATCAGCAGGAGGTGGGCCAGCGAGGTACAAGCAGGCTGCAGAGAGCTACAGAAGCGGGCAGGGCAGCAAGCAAGTGGGAGGTGGAGAGCTACAGGAGAGAGCAAGGCATCAAGCGGGGGGAGCTACAGGAGGGTGAGGCAGCAGGCGGAGAGCTACAGGAGGGCAAGGCAGTGGGTGGAGTGCTACAGGAGGGTGGCAGCGACCTACTGGTGCATGGATTCGTGCACAGGGCTACTAGTATATAATAATTGTAAATATTTATGCATCAAATATTAGAGTCCCTAAATATATAAAGAAGATACTAACAGAAATAAAAGGATAAATAAACAGCAATGTACTAAGAGTACATTGTACTAAGAGTACATCTAGATTATCCAGACAGAGAATCAATAAGTGAATTTGAAGAACAGTTAATTTGAACAACACTATAGACCAAATGAACCTAACAGACATGTTCAGAATATCCTATCCAACAGCAGTAGAATACACATTATCAATTCCACACAGAACATTTTCAGGGATAGATCATATATAGGGTCATAATATGTCTCAACAAATTCAGGAAGATAGAAATTATATCAAGTATATTTTATAACCATAGTGGTATAAAACCACAAATCAGCAATAGGAGGAAAGATGGAAAACTCACAAATACTTGGAAATTAAAATACATTCCTGAATAACCAACAGATCTAAAAAAGAAATCAAACCAATGGATCAAAAAAGAAATCAAAAGGGAAATTAAGAAATATCTTGAAGCAAAAGTGAAACACAACATATCAAAATTCATGATATGCAACAAAAGCACTTCTAAGCAGGGAGTTCATAGGTATAAATGCCTATATTAAAAAAGACAAAGATAAATAACCTAGCTTTATACCCCAAGGAAGTAGAAAAAGAAAAACAACCTTAGACCAATGTTAGCAGAAGGAAATTATAAATATTAGAACAGAAATAGGTAAAATAGAGAATAGAAAAATAACAGAAAAGATTAACAAAACTAAGAGTTGGTTTTTTGAAATGCTAAACAAAATTGACAAACCTTCAGCTAGACTTACCAAGAAAAGAGAGAGAGAGAATTCAAGGTTAGAAATGAAAGAGGAGACATAATAAATGATACTCCAGAAAGACAAAGGATCATAATAACTTGGACAACCTAGAAAAAATGGATAAATTCCTAGAATTATACTACCAACCAAGATTGAACAATGAAGAAACAGAAAACTGCATAGACCAATAACGTATATGGAGATTGAATCAGTAATGAAAAACCTCCCAACAAAAAAAAAAAACACCTAGATTTCACTGATAAATTCTATCAAACATTTAAACAAGCATTAATGCTAATCTTTTTCAAACTCTTTCAAAATTGCAAAGAGAAAGAAATACATCAAAGCTCGTTTTATGAGGCCAGCACTATCCTAATAATAAAACTAGACAGAGACCACAAGAAAAAATAAATTGTGGCATGTATCCCTGGTAATAGATGCAAAAATTCCAACAAAATATTAGCAAACCTAATTCAACAATACAGTTGACCCTTGAAACACACTGGTTTGAACTGCGTGGGTCCACTTAAAAATGGATTTCCCCCCAGAAAATATACAGTTGGCCCTCTGTATCCCTGGTTTTGTATCTATGGATTCCCAACTGTGGATCCAAAATACTGTTTTTGATCCATGGTTGGTTGAATCCATAGATGTAGAGGGCCAACTATGCATTGTTCTATGTCATTTTATATAAGGTACTTGAATATCCACAAATGTGTGTGTGTGTGTGAGTGTGTGTGTGTGTGTGTGTGTGTTTGTGGGGGGAGGAGTCATGAAACTAATCCCCTGTGGATACTGAGGGATTATAGTTAAATTTAGGGGGAATGAAAAGTTATATGTGAATTTTGAACTGCATGGGGGGCTGGGGCCCCTAACTCCCACATTGTTCAAGGGTCAACTTTACATTAAAAGGATCATACACCATGATAAAGTGGGATTTATTTCACGGATGCAAGGATGATTCAACATCTGCAAATAAACCAATGTGATATACCATATGCATAGAATTAAAGATAAAAACTATATAATCAACAGATGCAGAAAAAGCATTTGACAAAATTTAATGACTTTTCATGATAAAACTCTTAACAAATTGGGTATAGAAGAAATATAATAAAGGTCATATATGACAAACCCACAGTTAACATCATACTCAAAAGTAAAAAGTTGAAAGCTTTCCCTCATAAGATTAGGAACAAGACAAGGGTGCCCACTCTCACCACTCCTATTCAATATAGTACAAGAAGTCCTAGCCAGAGCAATTAGGCATGAAAAATAAGCAAAAGGCATCCAAATCAGAAAGGAAGCAGTAAAACTATCTCTGTTTGAAGATGACATGATTTTAATATATAGGAAACCTTAAAAACTTCACCATAAAATCTGTTAAAATTAATTCAGTAACATTTTAGGACAAAAAATTAACCTACAAAACCCCATCACATTTCTACACACTAACAGTGAATTACATGAAAAAGAAAACAATCCCATTTAAAATAGCATCAAAAACAATAAAATATTGGAATAAATATAACCAGAGGAGAAATATCTGCACACAGAAAAGTATAAGACATTGATGAAAGAAATTGAAGAAGACACAAATAAATGCAAAGAGATAGCATGTTCATAGATAAATAATGAATATTGTTAAAATGTCCATACTACACAAAGCATCTATAGATTCAATATAATCCCTAACAAGATTCTAATATCATTTTTTATAGAAATAAAAAAAAATCTTAAAATTTGCATGGAACCACAAAAGATTTCCAAAAGCCAAAACAATCTTGAGAGAGAACAAAGCTGATGACATCACACTTCCTAATTTCAGACAATATCAATACAAAAGTATACTAATCAAAGCAGCATGGTACTGGCATTAAAACATAGATCAATGGGAAAGAATCAAGAACAGAAATATATGACCAACTAATATTAAAAAATGTTTATACACATACACATACATATATGGTTTATATGTAGAATGGAATATTATCTATATATATAAAACCCTAATGTGCAAATAGACCCAACGGTGGAACAAACCAACAACTAAACAACCAAACAACCAGTTTCTATGACATGCTCTGACCACCAGGGGACATGTGAGGAACATAGCGGCCATTGTCCGCTGCCAGATGGTGGAGCAGGTGAGTGGGGGTGCCAGACCAAGGCGGTGGGTGCCAGTCACTGTCATCAGGGTGAGCCTCTGGTGGTTACTGAAAATTTTTTGCTCCCACGCACCACGGTTCTGCCGGGTGCTCACACCTGCTGCTGGCGCCGGAGCTGCTGCTTGCACCCACTGCCAGTGCCCGGTGCCAGTCCCGATTGCTCGGCACTGTCAGTGGGTGCGAGCTGCGGCTGCTGGCCCCGATCGCCCCTGAGGGTTTCTCCACCTCCCCCTGCTCCTGAGGGGCGATCAGGGCAGCAGCTGTGGCTTGCATTCGCTGACAACTTGCACCTGCTGACGGCACCGGCCCTGCTCACACCCACAGCTGGTGCTGGCCCCAATCACTCCACAATATCAGCAGTGTAAGTAGGGCTGGTGCCATTAGTGCATGGGAGCGGCAGTGGCAGGAGGGGTGTGGAGGATGGGCTGAGACCCTTTCCCTGTGCCCACTGTGGCCTCGCGGCCCACAGTTCCTTTCAAGGTGCACAAATTCATGCACTGGGGCCCTAGTTCAGTTATAAAAGAAGAAAATTCTGCCATTTGCAACAACATGGACGGACCTTGAAAGCATTATGCTATGTGAAATAAGTCAGATAGAGGAAGACAAATAGTGTAGGATCTCATGTACAGGTGTTATCTAAAAAAACTGAGCTCATAGAAACAGAGTAGATTGGTGGTTTACAGGGGCAGGGAGTGGGGGAATTGGGTGGGCACAAACTTCCAATTATAAGATGGATAAGTTCTGGGGATCTAATGTACAGCCTGGTGACTATACTTAGCAACACTGTGTTGTATAGTTGAAAGTCGCTAAGAGAGAAAATCTTAAAAATTTCCACCACACACAAAAAAAGGTACCTATGGTGGTAATTGTGTCAACTAACCTTATTATGGC